CGGGTTGTTTTGCAGACCACTCTAAGGAAAGGATATTGCTATTACATTCTATTGAATTCGTTTCCCACCTGTACCACCTAGAGATAACTTCCCGTAGGACATGATAATTTTCCTAGTATTCTGTAGCATGTGAGAGTTCCGCCTTGACCTGAGGAATGAGAATTTGTACCCAAAAATTGTACGCCGACATTTCATTGAGCTTGTTATCCGCGTCAAAAGCGTGTATGATATTCCAACAGTAGTTCCTGACTGTCTGCCTTTGTTTAACAGTCTTCATGACATCTAAGAGTTTTAACATGTCTACTATGATTGTGTAGATTGCACCCTGAATAACCACGTTGTGAACCTATCGCTTCTTCCTCTATGTAATAAAGAAGAAAAAAAAAAGTGTTTGCGTGACCTAGTGGGCAGCGTGTCTGGCTCGCAACCAAAGGTTATTGAGTTCGATCCCGCTCCGCCTAAAATTCTTCGATTTTAGCTTTTCAGGCAAATGAATTACTATCGACTAATTAGTATTTTTCCGTCCCACCGATCCAGGCGCCGACGCCGGTTTTTCTGCACGACAAACTCCATCAAGCTATCGCTTTAGAATATGACAGTTATATTTCATCACACAATATGCTCGATCGGTCAGGTCCAACGATGCCCGCCCATGCCGAGTTCGATATAAACTTACGTTGTCATCACTCTGGTGTAATCGTTAATGAGTGAAGCACGATGGTTCAGCGATCGCGCATAGCATTTCTTTAATTGGAACTTACATCTCAGAGCGTGCAGACCTTAGGTCGCAGAAACATATGCGCAATAAATTTCGCCGCCTTTGACTACTGAAAGTGTTAGTATAGTGACGTATTGTTCTCAACGTTTAATAAACCATGAACTGATTTTGCGTTCGAATTTTACGAACGGCATCTTGTGTGGTTCGATAGGAGCATAGCACACTCCGTGCATGGCACTGACCTATTAGAGACACTTTAGTGGTTCGTATTCTATAGAGCAACGCGTTGCTAGCGGGAGCTCTTTCCGTCACTTGGAAGCATGGTTTGAGCACGCGTCCGCTGGTCCCACTTTCCGCAGCGTACAATCTACTACAAGATCACTCATTTTAGCTGTTCGCGCAAGTTCTGCGGTTATTTAAATGAATAATAAGACGTACATATTGAAGAGTTTTAGTAGATCGTGTTTTCAGGTCACGCTATTTGAAGCGCGAGCTCGTGTTGCCACTACGATGCATGCTCTGAAGCGCGCGCCCGCAGCGGTAGCGGGCCTTTGAAAGCGATCTACTAAAACTCCCTATTAACTATTGCATGTGCAAATGCCCTATGTAACGGGGAAGCCGATGAAAATCAGCGCGTTTTGGTTATACTTCGATATTCTTCAGCTGTTTTGTGGTGCAGCAGGTGTTTCAGAAAGCATCGCCCTGCCGGTCATATGCGAAAAAAAGACGGCATCCCAGCGAGCTCACTCCAATAAAGTTTCAGACGAAACAAAAAATTGAGCAAATCGATTTTGCTGTATAGTACTCGCTTTCCTTCAATAGGCACTGGGCATGGTTCCAGAGCGCGCCACCGTCGATTGACCACCAGCACCACCGTGGCTAAACGAAGCAACATTTTGCTTCATTTGGCCACCCGACAGCGCCGCTGGCGTACGCTTGCGAGATGTCGTTTTTGTTACGAACTCGATCCGAGCGTTGTGCTGTCGCACTACACAAACAGCTGCTTTCAAAATGTAACAAGCGATAAATTAACCAATGTGTATGTATGTGAGGTTGTGTGGTTCTATAGCATTAGGGAGTATTAGAAGATGTCTTCCTCGATAGGTTCAGACAACTCGAAACTGGAAATGGCAAACCATCCAACTACTACGGCCCAATTTCAGTGTAGCCCAGCGGGCAAGGGCACGTTGATATTACGTTGTTTGTGCACTCTTCAAACGCACGCACAAAAACAAAAATTCCGTCGAGCTGCCTTGTCCACAAAATCAAAACTAAAAGCGCCCCCCCCCCCCCCCTTCCTACGCCCCGATCACCCCCAATGGCTCTTACTCCTATTATTTTTCTATGTAGACTCTTTCCACATGACGAGATGAGTTATTTTTTGGGGATCAGCAGCCGGTTTTCCGTCCACTCGTCGTTGTGTTGAAGACGACTGCGGGGTCCGAAGAATGTGTGTTTCGTGAAAGCCGGCTGTTCATTGGACGGTGTCAGACGCAGTTGCTTGTCGCAAAGTGATGCTCACTTTCGTCGACTGAATGTGCTCTGCTGTTTTACGTAGAACTCAAATAAACGCCGCGTAAATTACGTTCTGTCCTGCAGTATACGTACATTTTGTTTTTTTAGTAGACTGTTTCGTCGCAGCGGGGACGAAGGTGGTACCGTAGACAAGTGTCGAAATGGAGCAGCCATCTTGGGCTGCTCCATTTCAAAGCTCAAAGAGTGAGCTGCACAGCGGAACGCGTGCACAAAAACGCTCTACTAAAACTCTTCATCAGCACGACTGCCCGCAAAACGTCGTTCGAACAAGGTGCGTCTGCGGAGCGGAGAGCAGTGAGGATGTCAAGAGATTGATCTGATTCTTAGGTAGTCATCGTATGGAACCCGTTTTACAACGCCGCGCTTCGAGCGCATTAATAACGAATGTTGAGTCAAATACCACATTCAGAGATCCATCTTGAGGTATATAAAGTGAACGGAATTATTGTTTTACACGTTTTGCGGCATTTATTTATCTCTGACAGCGTTGTATTTCCCACGGCCCCGATGGGAAGCTGCGGAGATTCACGTCTGCTATGCTCTCGCGGTTACGACAGTCCGGCACGCAGAAGTGCCTAAGGCTCTGACGTTTGCTCTTCTGCGGAGGCATTCGAAATGATATGCAACAGCTTATAACAATGTTAAAATTCAAAAATCAAAAACTTTCGAATCAACACATTCGAAGTGAAGCATAACTGCATAAATTTGAACGAAGAGCTGGCGAAAGATTCGTCCCAGTGTTGAAAATATCTTGATTTAGATGATGCGACGTGTCACATCAATCTTGATTGCCATGAGGCTATACGAAGAAAGGATCAAAAAGTAACGGTACATCCGTGGGAACAACGAGCCTTGTAATGTGTTTACACGAACGACAGCGCCACCTGAAGAAGAATGTTTCTTGACGTGGAGGTGCTTCCAGGAGGTACAGGTTGCAACCCTAAAAACAGCTCATTGGGCACGGCATGCGAAACTCCAATTGAAAGCTGTAATTTGAATGTCATGCCTAAAACTAAATACAGGAACATCGTTTCATAAACCGTTTTAACATGAAACGTTCTTTGGCTGCTGTTCGACATTTCATGAAGCCTAGATAAAAGCCTGCCCTCGAGGCTCGACACTGATTGGTTGACGGGTGGGAGAGGAGGAGTGAGGTGCTGGATGCTGATTGGTTAACGGGGAGGCCAGGTGAGGGGGGGATAGTCGAGGAGGAGCTCGACCACCTGTGCGCATTGAGAGAGAGCTAGAAGCTCGCGAGTGTGGATGGCTCTGGAGGATAGCCAGGTTAATCAGCCTCATTAGTGGCACCATCACTTCATTCTAGGAAACACTATCAAGTGTACACGAGGTACGCGTTAAAATGCGTTAAACTATCTGATGAAGAGCGCCGTGAACGTAGTCGTCTGGCAATTCAGAGTGTCGCTAAAAGTTTGTGATGCTAGAACTTTTCACGTACTCAGCACAATTGTCTAGCGATTTGCCATACATTTTATGTATCTATTTTTTAGGTTAACGCAGAGGGAAATTTAAAAATATAGTAAAAACGATAGCTATGCATTGCTCTTGTACTACTGGCAACTCCAGTGAAATCGACAACACCTAGCGGCTAGAGAAGAAAGCTGGAGCGGCAGGTTCGCTCCACAGAGTTCTCAAGTGAATGAGATATTTACAGTGCCTGGCGTACTAAAGACAAAGCTGCGAAATAAAGTTCAAAAACACGTGGTGAACATCGCCAATACCGGCCCACTACTTTGCGAGCTCACTCCCCGGTGGCGTGCTAAAGGCGTGGGCGTTTAGAACGTCATAGGAGGGTCTGTCTACGAGAAAGGTAATCGCGATTAATAATGATTTTAACAAATATATCATTGATTACCCAGTTTGGCATTTAAAACAAGATGTTTTGTTGTTGTTGTCGTTGTTCTTTTTTGTAAATAAAATGTGTTTTTAAACAAAAGAACGTTTCTTTCATCGTGTCACCTGCGAAAAAACCCGTTAATAGTTATAACAAAACTTTCGAAATTTATAACAGTAAGTTGCCCTTTAATAGAACCGCTCTGCTACACTAAGGCGTACGCGAAAGCATGTCCTGCAAAACAAATCGCGTGACTCTTTTTTGCAGTACACACTACGTGAGAAGGACGGATGACCATTGGCGACGAAATGTTTCGGTGGCCGTCCTTATATATTCCCTACCCATCACGTCACGAACAGGATTATTCGTTGAGAAACGATAAGTTCAACGGTACGCTACACTAAGGCGTACGCGAAAGCATGTCCTGCAAAACAAATCGCGTGACTCTTTTTTGCAGTACACACTACGTGAGAAGGACGGATGACCATTGGCGACGAAATGTTTCGGTGGCCGTCCTTATATATTCCCTACCCATCACGTCACGAACAGGATTATTCGTTGAGAAACGATAAGTTCAACAGTACGCTTAAAAAGCACGGTGAAAGCTTGGAGTCATTGCGTTCTTAACGCTGAACTCTTCGCCGAGCGGCACGTTCGCTTTGCGTGCGGTGCAACAGCCACTGTTTTGACTCCACGTTCAGACAGAAAATCGCCAAGCGACATTCGTCACTTTTTGGTCGCTCGATAGAGCCTTTAAACTAAAACCATCAAGGTTTATAGATGGGCGATTGCTCATATTTCCGACAATAGTGACATCCAACACTAGACGTCATGGTGAGCTCTTGAGGAATCGTTGGTGGGCCGACCCGAGCGACGCCTTTGTTTCGTGCGCAGGCTGTTCGGCGTCAAGTGCGCGGGCTGCCTGGGCTCGATCGCGCCCAGCGAGCTGGTGATGCGCGCCCTGGAGCACGTGTTCCACGTGGCCTGCTTCGCCTGCGTCGTGTGCGGCCGCACGCTCCAGAAGGGCGACCAGTTCGTGGTCCGCTCGGGCAGGCTGTACTGCCGGCCCGACTTCGAGAAGGAGATGGCGCTCGTGTCCATGGCCTCCCAGCAGCAGCAGCCGCCGCCCCACGGCCACGGAGCGCCGATCGCGGGGAACGCCGCCAGAGGTGAGCTAACCGAGGGCCCCTGATCACCCCTTGGAGACTCAAAAGTGCCACTCTCCTCGGCCGTCTCGTTCGAAGGCTTGCGCGAAAACACGCGAACGCCGCTTTTCAACTCAATTCTGCACTTCTCTGTTCCGATTTCACCAGTTGAACCGCTACCCTCCTCTGCGCTTTTGCCATCTATATCTTTTATCACTGCTCTTCTTATGTGTTGCATTGCTCATCTCCTCCAAACTGATTACCCTGAGGACTGTTATTAAATTTCTGCTTACCGATTTTATTTTCTCTCATTATATAAACTTAAATCATTTCGAAGTTTCATGGCTGCCTTCCTACCCTTTTTGCTTACTTTACGGGACCATTCTGATCTCCTTCATTTTGATTTGCGCATTGATAAAACAAGATACCTCCCTTCAACTGCTTATAATGTTGTCCTAGATTGTGTTCAGCTTAATGTCTGGCTCTCTGCTGCTCTTGAAATACCTGCTTTCTCCAAAAGCTTTCTCATTTGACGTTTTTACATCGCCTTCTTTAGTTGAACATTTCACGACACTCGCCTTAAAACAAAACAAAAAAGAAAATAATTTTGTGCAATTTGAGTCTATCTTACAAGACGTTTTTTTGTTCTTTTTTTGAAAGAAGCAGAGAGGGCGGAGCAAAACCGATGTTTGTTTTCTTCATTAGATATACAATTATTTCTTTAAATAAAGTGACAAATTATTGATATTAAAGGCACGTCAAAGTATCGTAATTTGAATCATAAAGGAGAGTATAACGCGCCGCGAGGAGTCGGATTTGTTTTACTTTAGCTGTTTAGGTGAAAATGAGTTTACCTCTTTAATTTGCGTATTTGCTTCCCGGTTTGTTTATTTTACACTTTCGCTAGCATGATCTTTATTCGCCCCCTTTTAATTGTATAGGTCTAGTTTGTGTGTCTCCAGAAATTGATTTCTCTATTCGCTTTCTAGTCTGACTGCATATTTTTAATCTTGTCTTTTATTATTTTCAGAATTTATTAAATTTCTCAATTTTAGTGTCCTTGTTCTTGGGAGATCCGTAGAAAACATAAAAGTGTTCGCTTCGTTTAGGTGTGATAAAGCTTTTCTGAGCTGCAGGCACAAGGCTACCGATGTGTAAAAGCGGATGATAATACTATAATCCGCGCTTTCGCACCCGGATAGCCTTGCTCGTGCAGCACGAGTATTAATTAAGTTTAGCATACCACCGCTCTTCTCACGCGCTTCAAATCTTTCTAGAATTTACTAATTTTAGTTGTTTTTGATTACGCTCAGAAAGGGTTCAGTTTGAAGCGTGCCTATTTCACTAACTAAAAAGCTAAGTAATCAATATTTGTAAATTATCCCACTTATAGTAACAATGAGCACCTTATAATATGTCCCCCTGGCAGTATAACTAAAAGTTAAACTAAAAGTTAACGACCAATATCTATAGTACCAATATCTATATCTATAGCCAACTAGCCCACAAGTTAATTATGAATAAGTATAACTCACGTGCGTAAACCACATAAGTGTAACTTTAACTTATTTTAACGAATTTGCAAAAGCCTCGAAAATAACACCCTGCGTTGTGACTACAAGGTGATTATTTTTTTTTTACATTTACCACGGGAAGAAGCCTAATATTGTCACGAATGACAATTGATGAGGCGATAATAACTGAATAAACTGAACGTTTAATGAGGCAAGCTTTTGCCCAAAACAAAAAGGGAACAGAAGATAACAGGACAGCGTCGCACGCGTCGATGTCGGCGAAACCGCAGGATCGAGCGCTGGGGCGAGACTGACTGCAGATCGCCACGCGGAGACCCTTATGTACACGCGGGGGCTTCTAGAATAATCGGGGCAGAAGGTTCGGCGCGTAGAACATTGTGACCTCGAACAAGCCCCCCGACACGGTTCTCGAATTTACCAGAACATTACGTTAGAGTCAGTCAACAAAAATGCGTCCCCGCGGCCAGGAATCGAACCCTGGCCTTCTGCGTGGAACGCATGCGCGATAACCGTTAGGCCACGAGCGCGCTGCCCGATTGGTCAGCTGCGCTTGCGGCAATATAATCCACAAAACAGCTACAATACCCATGCACTAGACTATGGAAAAGCCGAGTCTCATACAATTTTGTTAAACCAATGATTAATACTACTTCCCCTTTCAGGTTGTAGCGTGCAACTTCATTATCAATACACTGTTGCGATAGCATACATCCTTGTTTCAAATTTCCATGACTTGTGAGCTGCGGTTGAAGGTTGACAGGTTTAAGGGCAAGGGGGGGGGGGGGTGCAAACACGTTTGTACTTTGCGTAAAAACCACTTAGAACGAATCCCTGACGTTGATTTTCTAGCGCAGCATAAATAGCGCAGACAAACAGTTGTTTGTCTGCGCTATTCATGTATGTTGTTTTCCTTCTATTCTCTGTTTTAGTTTAAATTTTATCAAGTGTGTTTTTCTTGCATCTACACAGCGCAGCAAACCATCACAATGCCTAACCAACTAGCCCATATCCAAGCTTTATTTTTATAATTAGCATCCATGCTGTTACCGATTGTTATTGGTCATTTACGTTTAAATCAAATTAAACCTTTCACTGTGGAGCGTAGGGGCGAATCGGAGCTACGCTGGGGAGCTCGCCGCCGCCCGGGGGGGCGGGGGGGGGGGGGGGGGGGGAGTGTGAGTGGAGGAGTGGAAACTCGTCAGGCCGGAGTGAAAAGAAGTTCCTCCCCACTCCCGTTACGTCGCATCGAGAGATTCTCGCCGAAGTCGAACTTAGCTCATCTCCTCGATATGCAATGGTGCATGGAGCCGATTATATACGCCTATGTTGATCATAGCCACGCTGGGGTTGGCAAGGCACAGGACACGCGCTGAGTTCCGGACATTGTTATGGTTCAGCACGGCCGGTCTCGACGCGCGCGCTCGCTTACGGCCTGAGCAGTCGCCGAGGAGGCAATGCATTTTTTTCTGCGCTGCGCCACCGGTGTTCTCTGCGAGAGCGCGCTGTGAGCCAACCCGTGGTGCGGCGGCGCCCGATGGTTTTGGAGAGGAAGCCGACGAGCGCGCGGGCCCGTTTTTCCACGTGTGGTTTTTGCCGCTGCGTGTGTGAACGAAAGTGCCTCATGCTTCGCGTGCCTTGCTGACGAGGTCACGTCTCTCAGTAAGTTTCTGCATCGTCTTTTTCATGGATACTCATGCTTGTCTCACAAACTTGTGAAGTCAAGCTGCGCATATCAATATTGTGGCTATGGTGTACTGTTTTGTGCCGTTTTGTCAGTCGCGGTCCGGAAAGGTGTGTCGTTTCACCAGTTTCCAGTTGACCAGGAACTGTGTGCCAAATGGCAAAAAAACATTTCTCGAGAAAATCTCGTCATTAATGACAAATCACCCTCGACTGCAGTACGCAACAAGCACTTCTTGGCGAGTGACTACGTCAGTGACCGTAAGATAAGAAAACTGGTTCCTGGTGCCGTACCAACCGTATTTCAAGGGTATCCTTCTTACCTAGCACCCAGTGCGAAGAAAGCACGTAGGACCCTAAAAGTCCGAGACACTGCTCCCTCTAGGAAGCCATCAAAACGAAAGGCAGAGCCAGAAGAATGCGAGAATGCAGTGCTTGAGTCGCCGCGAGGTGAAATCAAGCAGAAAGCTACTATATGTACCCAAACAAGAAACAACAATGCGCAGCGAGCAAGTCGATATCTTTTAATGATAGCAAGACTTCGTTCGCAGGTAGCGTACTATCGCTCCAGTTGCTCAAAAACACAGCAGCAACTAGAAGCAGAGAGAAATGTAATCTTCTCATATCGTGACGACAAGCGCTACTCAGCGTTGAAAAATATTGCTTCAGACGTTGAAAAGGGAGAGAAAAAGGCTGTCTTCCTGCTTCACCAAGTTGATGGATACCAGAAGAAATTCCAGTCTTATCCCGAAGAAGTAATAAGAGAGTGTGTCATATGGCGGCTTTCTTTCGCCAAAAGGTTGTGATCATGCCCGGACTAACCTGCTGACACTGCCACATAAGTGCACACTGCAGCGCTACGTAGGTCCCAGCTCAACTTCTTCAGGAATGAGTGGCGCCGTGAAAGAAAGGCTCATTCACGAGGCTTCCTTTCTCAGCCACAAACAGCACATGGCTTCGTTAATAATCGATGAAGCAGCAATAAAGTCAAAGTACATATACGACCGGAAGTCCGATGTAGTATTTGGGATCAGAGACAAGCCGGAAAGTGGTGCACCACGTACAAAAAACGAAACACTTGCAAACCGAGTCCTGTGTTTTGTGCTCCACGGAGTGGCCAGCTCGTACAAGATCCCATGCTCGTACTACTTCACCAAGCAGCTGAGCGGGAGAGACTTGTATGCGTGGATGAAGGACGTCATCTCTGCAGCTGAGGAATGCGACTTTGTGGTGATTCGAATAGCTACCGATAACTACTCAGCGAACAGAACAATGTTCAAGCTCATGGGGAACGGTTCCTTGTCAACCGTAGTGAAGCATCCTCACGATGATGAACGAGAAATGTTTTAAGCTTCAATCCTTGCCATGTTTTCAAGAATGTCCGCAGCCAATTTTTGGAACGGGAGCTCACAGACGGCGCTGGCGTCATCAGTGGCACATTTGTCCGAAACTCTATGAGCACCAGAAGGACATGTCAATAAAGTTGGCCAGAAATCTTACAAGGAAACATCTGTATCCGTCGAATCTAGAAAGAATGAACGTGCTACGTGCCGTGCAGGTGTTTTCGCCCCAAAGTCACTGCCGCACTGGAACATCTCCAGCAGAACTCGCGAGTCAGCTCCCTTCTCTTCACTTTCACGGATGCAACATCGACGATCAACTTCATGAAGGTGATGAAGAAATGGTTCGACATTCACGACACCACCTACAATGGAAGTGGCTGCAAAATGCCCATCTCCAGAGAAGACGATGAGAGACTACTGTGGCTGCAAAATGAGTTTTGCAGCTACGTGAAGACGATTCAAGAAT